GCATGCCGGGTTCTCACCGGACCAGGCTCTCACATCACCAAGCGCGAAGCGCCGTGAGGTATTTGGCGAGTCGCATGAAGGGTGAGCTGCATCCTGCTAAGGGTGTTCGGCATCTTGTGCTTACTTCCTTGCGTACGGATGACAGCTACATATGACTTAATTTATTTTCTGGTGCTTTCACTTCCAGAGACAGTTGTAAGCACTGTGTAACTGCCTCGAGGAAGCTTGACCATTTTAACACAACGTGGTGCGATCATCCCCCGTTGCGCGGAGTGAGGGTTCTCGACCCCGCACAACATGATCTACTCGACCACCATTATGGTTACCGCCAAAAAAAAAACGAGGTAAAAAAAAAAACGGTAACCTGGTTGCCGAGTTCACGAAGTGAATTGGCTTGTTTTACAACGTCGTTGCCAAGCGACGAAAACCCAACCCCGATGGCAAACACCGAGTGGGGGGCTTGTTTTACAACGTCGTTGCCAAGCGACGAAAACCCAAACCCCGATGGCAAACACCGGGGGGGGCGGAAAGAGGGGGGGGGTGCTTTTTCAGAGACGACGTCCCTTTGGTCCGTTGGTCTTTGGTCACACCAGTAGGCGGTCGATTCCTCTCCAGCGCCCTCCGCACAGTTCGCGGCCGCTAGGACGTGCGTTGGCCGTGGGTGAGGGTTAGGGTTGGGTTGGGTTCGGTTGGTCACGGTGTGTGACACATCCCATGTGAGGAACCTAGGTTCAACGTCCGGTTAGACCTAAAGAGTCACTAACAGACCGTAAATAGGTCCTATTGCTCTTCCGCACCGACAGCACCTACGTAAGGCCGACATAATGATCCCAAATATAATTCCTGGTCACCGACACCGTTTACCCAAATATCTCCACATATTTCGTGCCTCATCTATATCACTGCAAAGACGTCATCGACTTTGATGACCACGCACTCGGTGACCGACAGCAGCTGTGTCCCAATTCACCCCGAAGATCATTCCCGATCACCGATTCCCTTATTCCAAATATCTCGCGCCTCTCATCTACATGACTGCCACGACGTCATCGATCTTGAGGATCATGCCCACGCACTCGGTGGCCAGCTTGAGAGCGCTCGAGTTAACTAGCACCGGCTGGATAACGTGTTCTGCGTACATATCGCTGATGGTGCCCTTGCGTACGTTGATACCTGAAGACGGGGGGGATACGCATGGGGCGGCAAGGAACTCAGGCTCGACCGTTGGTGGTCGCACTACGGCTATATTTCACGGTAACGCCACCAAGAGGAGCAGTGATATTTTGAGGCGGGTGTTTCACAAACGTCCAACACAAACGTCCAACACAAGGGGGCTCAATCGGTAGCCAAGCGTTATCAACAGGGCGTTGTTTGTGTAGTAAAGTGACAATACACACGAGGCTCTTTGCTTTCAAGACAAGGACAGGCATCATATGCATACAAAGATCAGAGGAACGGTAGAGGCACAAAATGACCGTATACAGCACAGCTTCTCTCTGGCGACGTATGACATGAAATAGGCAGGCACAAAACGCAACACGCAAGGACCCACCCACCTGCTCCAACCTTGCCCTTGGCATGCTCCGAACGAAGCTCGGTGACGATGCTGATCGGGTTCATGCCCGCATTCTCCGCCAGGGTGTACGGGACAACCTCCAGAGCTGAAGCACCAGAAGTGACAATGGCAACGACAGCAACGACATCAGCATCCATCCACAACAGCGGCATTGGCGCAGCTTCAACGAGAGTCACACACCAAAAAGGTTGACGTGCCAACGCCAAGCGGACCAGGGATCTGTTTCTGTACACAACGATAGACACAGACTCCAAACAGGTCAACAATAGGCTTGGGTCCCCAAACATGTCGTTGTAACGACTGCTAATGGCAGGTTTCACACTCCTCGTGGATAAGCCCTGCTGCTGTGGCAATAGGTACAAGCGCGTGGATGTACATTCTTCGGCTCGGGGTTCCAACAACAAAGCAATAACACGGAGAGCAGAGCTGCCGCTGGCACGAACACCATCGCACCCGTCGGAAAACTAGCATAACCCATGCCCTGTGCCATTGCAGCTGCAACAGTAACGGCAGGTGGGTCCTACGCTCGCCACCAACAACTTACACCAACCCGCCAACTCTTGACCCTCAACTCCAAGCAACAGACCGCTTAACTCCCACCCACCCCAACCACCCCGCGCCACATCCTGCACGAACCGCAACGGGATTGATCCTACAAGCAACCAAGCACAACAAGGCAAGCGGCAATCAGGAGTGACTGCAACGACACAGACAGGCGGGCGGCCACCAGAAGGCCAGTCTCACAAAGCACGACAGTCCTCGGTATGGTTGAGGGTGGTGGTTAGTGATACCACGTCATGCTCCTGCGAAAAGCGAACCTTCGCGTGGTATGCGCGTGCTTTTTCCTCACCCTCGCCGTACGCCCGTATGCAGTACCCTCGCATGCCAGTCTGAGTCTTGGCCCACTCTGTCAACTGCATCGCGACCTCCGTCTCCGCCGCTCCACCCCCCGAGATGAGGAAGCGTTTTTTCACCTGCGGGTGTTTCCGACAAGAGAAGGAACCATGCCGAGAGCAAAATAACATGTCAAGTCACGGCATTCAACTGGGGGGGGAATACGCATGCGCTGCCGTTTTTGGAACAATGGTGATCGCGGGACAGGCCATGTTCTAATACATCATATCCAACCGCGTCCCCATCCAATTGCTGAAGGAAACGTGTAGCTGACGAACAATGCAAGACCTTTCAGGATACGGGTTAGGAACCTTCTCAAAGACAAACCCATCGACGCGAGACCTAACATGGCGTTAGGTGTGCACCCACGGAAAAGAGCAATGGTTGACTCTTCCTACGACCGAAACCAGAAGAGCACGACGAAGACAACGCACGCTCAAGAAAAAAAGCACAAGGTGACCTACTTTCCGAAGGCGTCAAACAAGGGCTATCGAAGACCATTCAATGTTAACAACAGCCTCTTCTATCCGGCGGAGTAGCCGCCGCAGACCTGACACCGTTCGACGACATTCCGCTTTTTTGGTCGTCGAAGTGAAACTTCCGTCTGCCTGTTGGCCAGCCTGAAGGGTGTTCTTGTGCTTCTAAAGCAGTATTTCGTCAACGTGTTCACGAGCGTTGCTCGCAGTTTGTAGCTACGCTACGGCCTTTGCCTCCCTCTACTCAACGACTCCGAACCGGGGTCACAAAAGACAAGGAATTTCTCTGCAGTGCTAGTGGTGGTCAAAGTTCCGGACAATCCTCTGCTAGCGGATCACAAGCACGCTAACGGACGCATTGAGCTCCGGAAGGCTGTCGCGAGAGTGCACAAAAACACCGCGCGACGCGCCTATCATAGTCTAGAATCGATGCCACCTGTTGTCAACAGACAAAAACAAGACGCTGTGCTCGTAGGATTTAAGGGTTGGCAACCTACGTGCCAGTCGTACTGTAGTGGCTAAAAATTTCCAGAGACGGTATTAAAAAATTGCGTTGGCAAGCACTCACCAGAGACCGCACGACGCACAGAGCATCGTGCACGCTGCGCTCCGCCTCGTCAAGCACCAGGCGGTTAGACCCGCGCATGAGCACCGTCATGGTCATGCCCGTTGTTGGCACGCCCGTCACCTTCACGATCTGCCGTAGCAACATCCAAGACAAAAACATAGACAAACGCAAACGCAAACGCAAACGCAAACACGGTTAGCGCTGTCGGTGAGAAGAACAAAGGCGTACCCAAAACACACAGAAGCAGGACGCTGCTCTACTCCAACTCCTGCGTACCCCTGGCCTGGCCGGTAGGACCCCTTTGACTTGACACCGTTTTCGCGAATTTTTCAAATCCCGCCGTAAGGCCGACGTCTTTTCATTGGTCAGCCCGTTAAGCACGGTCGCTTCTAAATGAAAGAAAAGCATGCGGCGGCACCAGAGCATGCGCGGAAGAACGAAGCCGGGAAGAACATGAGGTCTTCTCGCTTTGACCGTTGGCGTTTTTCGGACTGAATGAGTGATTGCCTCATCACGACGGAACCTCATCGCGTCGTCATCGGGCATACACACCACACTGGACGCACACGCCTACTACATACTGCAGACGGCAGGCGCTACACGCAGACGGCTCGTCACTCCCGAGGCCATGCTCGGAGCAGCAAAGACCTGGCGGCGGCGCGTACAACAAAATTTTGTGTGTTTTCCCGTCCCCTCCCGTGCAGAAACCCCTCAACAGCAACCAACCGTCGTGCCACCACCACTCTTTTGCCTCGCCCACAATATTCGTGCTCAAGGAGTCCCGGTCGCGCACGGGAACATCTAGAAAAAACAAAAAAAAAGCCACACAACGAAAAAGGAAGCAGGTTCGGCTGGCCCACCTTGTGGCCGGAGCCCGGCATCGAAACCTCCTGCACGAGGTCCGCAGTCCTGTGGCGGTGAGAACGAAACGGCCAAGAAAGAGAGAGGGAGAGGGCGGCCAGCTGTGGGAGTTGGACGAACGAAATGACCAAGCGATGGATGGCATCCCCACCTAACGAGGGACGTGGCGGCTTGCCGACGGAGAAGCAAGAGACGGAGTGTGTTGCTGCGAGGTGCTCTGCGGCGTTGCGCGTGGTCTGACGAGCCACAGGCAGTAAGCACCCAAGCCTTCCCCGCAGACTATTGACTGTGCCACGGAATGAAAGATTGGTGGATCAAGAGGACCGATATGTAGAGGACGCTAAGAACGTAGTTGTGCTACCACCACCGGACCAATGCCGAAGGTACAGGCAGGCCTCTAGGAGAAGCCAAGGGCGGGCGACACAAGATTTAAGAAGCAGGCCAAGCTTTGCTGCCGAATCTTGAGAGAAGCGCGGGCGCATTCGCTTCGCATACCGACACAACCCGAGTAAAATCCTAGCAAGTTTGTGCTGTGGCACAACAGAGAGAGGGTCCCATAAAGGGAAGCGGCAACGACCGACAGGGCCGACTAAAGAGACGCCCCAACAATAGCAGCCGAGATGCACCAACAAAACACCACTGTTCGCAGCTTGTCTTCTTGGTCGTTCGAACGACAACGCTTCATGTACCTACCCGAGCTTGTCCGCGTTGAAGGTGTCGATGTGAGCGCATGGCTTGAGCGCCAGTGTCCGGGAGATGAACTCGATGTCGTTCCGCTCCACATCGGTGATCACCATGATGCCCATCTAAACCAACAAAGAGGGTCCCGACGGGAGCGGTTGGTCGGCGCAATTGCGGTATCAAGACAGTAGAGACAGACGTCTGCGTGTAACCGCGCAAGACTATTTGCTTCATCTCGTCCAGCCATAGGGGGATTCCACGAAAAGGGGTCATCGCAGTCAAGAGCCACCGTAGGCCTTGTACCTGGTTGTGCAATCTCTGGCGCGGGGCCCCACAAGCTGCATGTGGCGCGGTAGGTAACCTGATCGTTGGCGTGTACTGCTTAGTAATGTAGTCTAGTCTACTGCTACCTGGTCGGACTCATCGTAACGATACAACTACGGTTGCGGTACTCCTCCACAACGTTATCACCGGATAATTCCACCGTGAACTGCAACGTCCAGAACAGCCAGCTGTATACCTGAGTATAAATACACGATTGTGTGTATACACGTACGTAAAATGCGTTCCTCCACGTCCGTCTAGGCTACAGTATACTCCAAAAGAAGACAAAGTGCTTGTAGGCAACACTAACCACAGACTCTGTTCAGCCCAAGAAGCGAAAGCACAGGGTACTACTGTAACATAGAGCGGTGCGCTTGCCCTCACCTTGGCGAGGAAGTGTATGGAAAGGTCGTTGTACGCGTCCCTGAGGATGCTCTTCTGCACGAGGAGCACGGTGCACCCGGCCTTCTTGATCTGCACAAGGCCAAAGCACAAGACGACACACAAAAAAAAAAAGACAACAAGGCGACGACGCCCAAGCGCAGCATGAATATCAATACCAAGAGAAGAAAGCCCACAACCAAAAAGGATCGTTGGGTTGGCCGGGGTCGTGGAGAGTAACAAGAATGGTGACAGTCAACGCCTGAGGTGTGGTTAGAACGAAAAACAAGAACCACAGCAGAAATGGTCCGTGACAAGAGAGACCAGGGAACACGCTCTCGCCTTCTTGCAGAGACCAAGGATGTACTTGCGCTCTTCTCTCAAGATACGGTCCATCGCGGCGTAGTCGGACACCACCACGTTGTTCTCCATGTCCGTCTTGGGCGCCGAGAGGCAGAACTGGATCAGGCCCACCTGTTTTTCAGGCCCACAACGCCAGGACCAAAAAGAAAACCGAGAGAAAAACCGGCACAGGATCGCGTTACGCACAGTAGCTCCGGAAAAACCGAGGTCGTTCTGCTTGGAACTCGAATCCGACGCGAGAATGAGCGGCACCAGTTCAGGACAGGAAGCACGCGGAGCAACAGCAGGAGAAGCCAGCCACTCATAGGCAGTCAGCCCGACAAGGTTCTACAAAGTCCACATGAGAACGCTCGTGAGCCGTGACAAAAAAGGGCAAACCCCTCACGACAACATAAAACGGGCACGTGGAAAAGGCGCAACAACTGGGGCCGGCTTTGTGGCGCCAATGAGACTCCAAAGAGGGAATGAAGAGGAACCAAAACGGAGTCATGAAGCAATAGAGAAAAGGGGTCGAGCACGCCGTATATACCAACCTTGGCGTTCTCGATGGTGGTGGGACCTCCAGCGCTCTTCTTGGCGCCCTTCTCGAACACCATCCCGTGCACCAGCTCGCTGTCGTCGATGGTACCTCCGAGCTGCTTGCAGATCTGCCACGCACACGACGCAACACACACCGGAAGAGTTACATAGTCCCACACAAGGTCGTTGGAACACAAGGAAGTTGTAAGGTTGGATTTCAAAAAGGTTTTGAAACAGCAAGTGCTGTACCTCTCATGAGTGATTTTTTATCCCGGCCAGCGCTGATGAACATTTGGAACCTTCCCCTTTGCTGTGAAGAATCCAACACATCGCATACTCATGACATGACCCACGCCGAGGGGCAGAGGGCCCCTTCTTTGTCGCAAAGTAGAGATTCCACAAAAAAAAAAAGAAAAACGAGTAACGACATGTACGTTGAGGCGCGAGGTCGAAGACAAGGCGACCGGTCAACCTACACACGCCTTCCGTGTCAAGGCCACCCCAACGTACATGCCCCGCTGCGCACTGCTCGCGGCGCTCAGGAGCCTCGTCTGTCTACCCACCCACACCCATCCCGCCAGACGTCTTCCGCCCCCCGAGTAAATTACCTTGATATCCCTGAGGTCGACGTTGGTGGCGTTGATAGGGTCGATGATGCCAAGCACGGCATCCACGGCCATGGGACTGATGGTCTCGCAGTTTTGGCTCACCACCTTCGACGACAGGCACGTGTCCACCGCCTGGATAAGCGTCTCCCTGGAGGGGGGGGGGGCAACGCGGATGCGATTCATTATCGGAACCGTAAGGCGACCGCCGCGACAGGGCGGCGGGGCGACGCCGCCAATATAGAACGCAGTCAACATAATTTCGACTGGGGCAAAAATAACAAGGACAGTTAGTTTGCTTCACCTTTGACCGTGCAACCATATCCTCTCGCCCACGGAGCACGGGACTGCCGTCTATACTAATATGAGATAAACCCTTCCCATGGGCCAAGGAGCTCATGCACCGACATCATTTGGCTATTTCATAGCCGAAAGCCAACCACCGGAAGGAGAATACAACGCTTGACGAGCTCTAGGCGGGGAGAACACGCTAGGCCTACTTGTGCAGACGCGACATGATGGTCCACGAAAACGATCATGCTTAAGAGTTCCCCGGAAGGTGACTGGAAAGGGCTCTTGTCTCTCACGGCCATCACTACCCCGCCACTCGTCTGAGTGCTGTCATCGGTTGAAGTCAGCCCTTCGCCTCGGTTGTCGGGACGGCCTTCTCCAAAACGCCTTCTCTTCCATTCGTCCCGTTCCAGCTCGGAACGACGGTCGACAAAACTAACTACACGTCAACACTGCTCTACGAATGTCGCGGCTGAATCTTCAGGACTTGCTCAGGGGGTGGGGAGCAGGACTGTACACACAGCGCCGCGCTTTTTACGGATAATATCGCACGCTTCTGAAGTCTCCCTCCTTTCCATGTCAACCTCGGGACCCGCGCAAGCTCTCGCCGGCAGCACGACCCGAATCGGACAACACGAAAAGGAGAAACGTAGGCCCGGCCGTATCGCTACGGTTGGGCCGACCCTCCTCGACAGCGCCACAAACCACGGACACTGCAGTGCAATGCGTGGGGCGCCCCCGCGGGGCCTTGGAAGACGTGCTTGGTATGAATTTTTCGTGTTCTTTGTCGTTGGAGGTAATATCGAGGGTAAAATACGACACCGTTTTCCAACTGCAGAAAAAACACGGGCCAGACTCGTGGCGGCACCCACTGCTGAAATGCTGCAAACGAGAGTGGAAGAAAGGTGTGCTTTGGGTAACTGGAGTACTCTGAGTTCAAATGCACCTCTTCGATGTAATGGTATATTATACCACGTAGTGGCTACATCGAAACCTTTACTTCTTCGTACCATACTATTTATTGCTACATGTTCCACCGTATGATTGTAGTGTCTAATATCTCGTCCGACCGCTCCGTTCTTCGGCAGCACACAACACGCGCCACACACGAAACTCAATCGCTTTGCCAAAACCCGTGTGCACGCACGCACGCACCTGTTCGCCAGGTCAACTGGCGTGGACATGCCCTCCAAGATCTCCTCCGCCTTGTCGGCAGCGGCCAGGAAGGACTCGGCAACGGCCATGGGGTGGATGCCCTTCGCCAGCAGGTCGGTGCAGGCGTTCAGCAGGGCCCCCGCGATGACGCACACCGACGTCGTGCCGTCGCCGGCCTCGATGTCCTGCGACTTGCTGAGCTCCACGAGCATTTTTGCGGTGGGGTGGAACACCTGCAGCAAGCGGGGAAAGCGACACATACACAGACAGAGAGAGAGTGGGAGACAAATCCTGGACGCAAAATCCTCTTATGGTGACTGCGTGCTCAAGGTGTCATGGGAGTACTTGATTACCACCATGGATATTGTTTTCTTTGCATGGGTGTCGACGTCGGGGCTCTTCGGCGGCATTCTTGTGCGACGACACTCAACGCACGGGGCACACCGTACCTTTTAACAGGCTTGGAACGTTCGCTTCGAGCACAGCTATTCTAGAAAAATAGCTAGAAATGATGTAGCCAACATCCAGTGTGGTCTCAGGGTCGACGATCGTGCTTGGAGCTGTACACGCAAGTGGCGTTTGACACTATTAATAGAACGCTCCAGCAATGATACAATGTATAACCATGCAGAGCTTTCCTGAAAGCGATCCCGGGCTGATGGTTTTGCATACAACCCGCAACAAGTATCCAAACTAGAGAGCCCGCCTCATCATCCTATCAGCGAGTCACTCACCAATTACGGCACTACGGACGCAATCCCAAGACTCGCGGCATAAACCCATTTTATGTTGTACGGCAAAAGGTACCACCTTAGATTTACGTTGCGGAAAGACGCACCTGCATCTGCCCGAGGATAGTGGCCCCATCGTTCGTGATAACCACCTCCCCGTCGCCCCCCTGGATCATCTTGTCCATTCCCCTCGGACCCAGGCTGGTTCGGATCGCGTCCGCAACCGCTTTTGCCGCGAGGATGTTGGCAGTGCGCACATCCTATTACAGACATTGAATGGACATTTCGACGTGTGTGTTGCGGCGCGTGTTGGGAGAGGAGCAGCAGCAAAGGTCGGAGCATGGAAAAGCGGGATGTGTGGGTCATTTTTTTCGAAAGGCGAAACGGCACGTAAAATGGGTACGCGGAAACCAAGAGGGTACCCGAGGACACACAGAGAGACGAGTACGACAGAGCAGGCTCCACCCTGTACATGAGCCGCGTAGTCAACGTACCAGTATTGTTGCACAGCTGCTTGGTGTGGGTAACCGGGGAGAGGTGGCTACCCTCAAGAGTCTTCAAACGGTTTCCCTGCTAAATTGTACTGTTTCCCGTCCGCCATCGGTTTTCGCAACCCCCCCGAGTCTTATCCTTTCATCACGGCCGTGGCATCGCGGAGAGACGAGTCCACCCCTATTGACGGCAATCACCACACTTCCCGCCGGCATGGCTAACAGCAGTGCGAGAGGCTACTTCGTCTCCTGATGCTCTGCCGAAACAGCCCCCCAGGCGCATTCACTACACAACCCACACAGACCTCAGAACGTAAGATTGCCACCTGATTCATTCGGCACTGACCTAGATGAGGCGATCATCCACAATACCGCTGTTGGTGCCACGTAGAGGCTGGTGTTTCGTGCACTGCGTTGCGGGTCATGGCGTGCTGATACAGACTGCAGCAATTTGCGGTATCCAACAGGCATACATACCCTCCCTTTCGCAACAGGACCTCTTGATCACATGCTGCTTGCGTTGGAGAAACGGGAGGCAATCCGAAATCAACTCATGAGCGCCGGTCGGGCAGAGAGACTACCAGAGCTACTGTAGGACGGAACCCCCGTTTCCCCCCCCCTCTGGGAACACAAGAACACAACCTGTAAGATGTGCGAGAAACGCCGGGGTGGTACATGACCACACAAACTGCTTTATCGCTAACCTTCTCCTTCTGGCTATCCCTGTGTGTGTCGCCTTTTCGTTGGTTCGGTCCAGCCATCTCTGATCAGCTGACAGCCAACGCGGGGAGCGATAGGCTGGTTGGAGTAGTCAATTTTCGCCTAGCGTGGGTGCTGCCTGGACCTGCTTGATTGTTTTACCTGCGTATCAACCGCAACGAGGGATTTGAGGGAGAGACATAAACATGGGTGTGTCTGACACCAAAACAACAAGCTCGTGTTTGATTGGATGTTGGATGTGTGCGCCAGTCGTAGGATAGCCGCAGCACGATCTGTAAACCAAGGTAGGTAATACCACGTACATTACCCGGGTTCTAGAGCAACTGTTGTACCAACACACCTTCCAGCTGTGTGGGCCATTGCCTATTGCCAGGCTTCCAATTAATCATCCGCCTTCCGCAGTGCATTCAAACAGGGATTATGGAACTCTCGAGGACACAGAGCAAGGTGGGCTACACGCTGGTTCATGCCCGATCAAGACCCTGGCTCGGCTAGCGTGGGTCGAAATTGTGTACCCAGCTTCAGAGGTTTCCCTCTAAATTGCAGACAAATTTCAAACTACGCGTCCTTTACCGTTCAAACACGAGAGCTTTGTTCTGTTTGCATAGCTATGCTGCAACAGAACAACATATCGATTGCGTGGTCCTGGTGTGGCGAAGGCATTTCATCGTGCTACATTCTGTTGATGCCGTTGGCAGACAGGGCTTATGCCCCGTCTCTCTCGCGCGCAGATCCCGGTCGCTCTCGGGCAACGATTGCGGCCTGCACGGCGTCTGTCTGGCTCTGCTAGATTCGAAAGCATCGGATGGTGACAGGGCCTACCCCAAGATCTAAGATAACGCCATCGACTTCACGACCAAGCAATATCAGAGGTTGGAATACTTGCCTCGTCGCTGGCGGGCTGCAGTTGTTGGGCGTGGGATTGTTGCTTCTTGTTGGTGGCGCAGCGAGCCGGTGGCACAAGCCGACACCGAGGGCAGTGGTCGGGGCACGCAGACAAACACTGGAGGTATGCGACATACCCGAATGTAACCACGGTCCCCCTAGGTACTTCACGCACCGCAGTGCTAGTGTAGTGGAGCAGTAGTGGAGCAGTGCGTTGTGGTCAGGCTGCTCTCACATATATGCTCAGACTCTCGCTACCCGCCACACCAGGGTGTTGGTACCTTTCCCCGCTGCCGATGGTGTCGGTCTGGAGAACGATGTTTTTTTCTCTCTTTGTTGTCGAGGCATTAGCCTTTGTTCCCAGGATAGCATTTTCCGCACCACCTGCCTCTAGAACAAGCGGGCAGCAGCCGACACATGAAAGGTACAGCTCCCGAGGGATCGTTGCTCGATCACAGCTGCCGGCAAGCAGAAGCGTGTGGGGCGAACGCATGAGTGCTGCAGGGTGTTCTAAAGATGTACCAGGAGATGCAACAGCGTGCGTTGTGGGACGTGATGTCTGCACCGCCGTCGACAACCGAAACGCCGGCACCGGTACGGCAGGAACAACGGGGTTGACGATCGGCGACGAGATCGGCGGAGATGGCCGAAGTGGGCGTCGTTTGCTGGCGATTCCCCCTCTACTGGTTGCTGTGGCGACGGGAAGAAGCCTCGCTGCTGCTGCTGCTGTGACTGGAGGCAGAATAGGTGGCGGAGGCTACTCCGCCCCGGCCGCCGCGGAGCGCACGCCAAGTGCCCCTCCAATGCAGCAGCAACAGCAGTACCAGCCGCCCCAGCAGCAGCAACAAGGGCGATACCAGCGGCCAAGGGCTGGCCGAGACATCTACGGCTCCGAGGGAAGCCGGTTTCACATCAGGTTTGATGGTGGACGAGGAGGGAGGCGATCAACCCGCGCTCGCTTCAACCCGTACGATGGTGATGCGCCTTCCACCTCCATCACTCCCGGCGACGTCGCCATGATCGGCGGGGTTAGCGCCGCCGTGGCGGCCGTTCAGCGCTACAACAGAAAACGCTTTGTAGACGAAGAAGGTTCCGGCCAGCGTCCCTCCGCGCCGCTGCCGCCGCGTTCTGGCCGGGGGGGGAGCTCGCAAACGGCCGTGGTGACGACGCTACAGTTGGGTTTGTATTGCGACCGCCAGGGGGGACAGGGGGACGTGTTGGCTACGCTGGACAAGCTCTCGCAGACGGCCGATGTTAACAGCCCGAGAGGGTTATCCACCCTTATCAACGAGGTGAGGCAGGCAGAGCAGCGCGCAGTACGCCGGTCCTAAGAATGAAGCTTGACGAGAGATGTCGATGGTCATTTCGAGCCATTGAACGGGTTCGAACTCGTGTTCTCTTTCCATCTTGCGCGGTTCTTGCTGAGTAGGCAACGGCGGGCAATGTACCTTTGTTTTCCAGCACATCCAACCCGGCGACAATACCGCCCTGTACCTGCATGTGTGCGTTGACGAAGATGTTTGTGTGTCATCGCGTGGGGTTTCTAACTGTGCGACTACTGCAACTCCTGCTCGCGGCCCCTTCGCCGGCGTCTCGTGTTGTAAGTAAGCCCAGAGTTTACCGTAACTTTAACGCGCATCAAACTTACCCGTATGCGCACAGGTGTGCCTGACGCTGCTTCGATCGGGCAGAGATTGGCTAGGGGGCACTGGAAGCGTCAAAATGTACGCCTCGGAAGGTCAGTCGCACATACAACAACAGCGTTGTTTGCTAGATTTGTGCATTGTTTCGCCCCCCGTGTGAGTGCTGCCGAATGATTGCTAGTTCGAATAGGTAGCCCTTCAAGTTCGCACTCTTGCCGGATCATCCTGCTGTACGCTGCTGGCAAGAAAGGATGCGCTCCGATTGCGCTATTTCCAGCCCGTATAACATGACGTAGCGACCATCCTAGGCCTTAAGTCTCGTCGATGGCCCCACGGTAAACAACGCAAGTCCAGGTCGGGTGGTGAAATATTTCGCCCCGCCGTCACACCCGCCCCCCAGGCCGTTCGAACAGCAGAGGGAAGAAGTCCTCCCCCGTGTCCAGGGCAAAGCGCGACTTCAACCGAGCCGCCATGCGCGAGCGATCAAAGTGGGAGCGGGAGACCGTGTCTAACACCCCCGACCGAGGGTTCAGCAGCAGCACCGCGCCTTCATGGGGGGGGTTCAGCGCCCAGAAGAGCGGAACGTACGCGGTAGCGACGCTGATCGTGGCGTGGTCGGGTTTGAACAGCACCCCTCCTCGGGCTGAGCCGCGAAGAGGCGGCTGGTTCACGCGGGATAGCCGCGATCGCGACGATGACAGAGGCGTGGAGTTCTCGGTGGTGAACAGGTGCGAGGGAAAAACAGTTCGTGTTTGGTATCTATGCATATGCATGCATGTACTTGGAAGATGCCCAAGCAGTTCGTTTTTGGCAGAAGATGTCACATATATATCAGAAGATGCACGTCACAGAACTGCTACGATGTGCCAGTTCCTGACCACATTGCAACTTCTTTCACATAACCGGTTACTATGCTACATATTTTGTAGGATGGGTTGTAGTTTTTGTGGTTTTCTTGGAGCGCGGTGAAGATGACAACTGCTGTGTGATTTCATCACGGCCCTAGGTCCACCTTTTGCTGCGTCGCGGTGGTGGTATTTGCGGACGTGGTTGTGTTTGTTTGGGCAATCACGTTCGGAATATCCCATTTCTCACCTGAAGGCTGGAGGCCTTCGCCGATATAGTTGGCGAATGGAGAAAGGAGGGCCTTGTTGAGTCCGAGGTGGTTTCGGTCGGAGTAGACTTGCACGAGAACGCCGGCTCTTGCGGCTGGCCTTGCCGGCACGCCCCTGCGCAGGTATGTAGCGCGGTTTGAGGCTCGTGTCATCTTGCTTGGCGGGATTGATGCGTGAACTTCCAGCACGTGCTTGGCGCGTTGCATCGCCGTGCCGCAGCAACGACCAACCCATGCACCGCCGTCTTCTGTTTTGTGTGCGATGCGCAACCAACCAACGAAGCAGGCAGTCCGCGCTGACCCTCCTGGAATGGCTAGGGGACGAGGCCGCGGAAGGGCGGGGAGAAAACGTGTTGGATGTAGAGGTGCTGTGGACTCCCGCGGACCCAGATGATTCTTTGGACCGGGAAGATTTGGACACCAAATGGCCGGAGCTAAGAGCACTCTGAAGAGATGGAGGCACCCGGGGAGGGGAGGAGCGCACTTTCGTCAACGCGCAGTTTTCAGTGGCACATGAAAATTGACCGCTAGGACTGCGGGCACGTGTACAAGTTTTAGAGAAGCTTCTGGCGTAGGGAATGAGGCATGGTAGCTTGTTGTTGTAGAGACGCCTCACGTTTATTCCTCGGGCTGCGCGCACGCATGTCAAGGGCGCATTTGTATGTACCAAAGTGTTATATTAGTTCTTTAGAAGGCCCGGCGACGCAGAGTCTACCTCGGAAATCGCAATTTGTAGATAATAGACTAGGAAATATTGAGGGCATTTCCCATGTTGTTGTAGTATCCTTTGACCGCAGGGAAAGGGTAAAGAGATGGCTACCAGAATCGAACATCAGAGTAATCAAGGCGGGCTGCCCTCTTTCTAGCGCCCCGTGGCTCCCAAGATGCATCTCGGAGCAATATTTCTGATGATGAAGCTGTGGTTGGGGGGCACGAGGTTGCCACCATATGAAGGATTCCGGCGAAAGGAATGACTTTCCCAGCTGAGCAATGTGTAGACGCCACCTCTCTCAATCAATGGCTGTCTCTGACATATGTATTGGATTTTGCTTTTGCAAGTAAGTTGTCCTGTCACCTCCAAAATTAGATTGGAGCACATCATCGCGGCAGGGGGAGTGACTCTTGGTTTTGAATCGCCGAAAATGTTTACTGAACCGTGTAGCATAGAAATATATGGAACCCAGCGTTATCTCTTGTCCACGCTCCCGGCCCTTGTTACGCTCTGAGGCAAGGTCGAAAACGAGACGCGATTGGCTCAACATTGCGCTCCTTGCCTATGCGAAAAATACACCAGAGGGGCTACGTTTGCATGCCTACATTTACGTCGAGTATTTATTCGAGGACACGTAAAAAGTAAAATGTTTCTTGTGCCACATACTTCTGGTGGAGTCTAGAGCAGAGGTTCTTTGTTTGAACACGAACGAACACAGCAGCGGTGGGTGTTTCTTTTGGAAATTTTTGAAAATATCTTGTTTGGCCACCGAAAGGCTTCAACTTCGCCTGCGATGAAATCATACGAACACTCAATAGCAGACTCCTTGCCAAGACCTCATGGTGTGTGGTCCCTGGAATTTAATCAACATATGGCTGCGTATCTCTCTCTCGCTTTGGAAGAGCAAGGGTACCACGACATGAACGGCCAACAAGCCAGCCAAAGGACAGGGGGTCGGCAGAAGATACCCCCCGTGGGACAAAAAAATACAGAAAGTAGGGTCCAGGGGGGCAGGGCACGATAGCGCGCGCCGCATCGCTTGAGCTTGGTCCTCTTGGTGCTACCCGGGTAGGAGATCACAGCTCAGCGCAACGCCAGGTGAAGCAAATCGCGTCAACGTCGGGACTTAAGGAGTGAGCCCTACCGCTGTGGAACGCTCGGGGAGAAGTACAGCGATCGCGTGAGCTCGCGCGCGTGAAACGCTTCCCTCTCTGTCTACTGCTCTGACAAAGTTGGGTGGGAAAAGTTACGCCCTCCTCCTGTCGTTTTAGGCGGGGAGCGTCAGCTGGGGAGAGTGGGAACAGACGGGAGACGCCATGCTCAACGGGCCTCTGTTGGTAAGAGGAGATCCTAGAGCTAGATGGGAAGCATTGCCGAGGGAAGGGGTGGCGAAAATTCGGCCTTGGTGTTCCATGTTTCTTTGGTGAACGACGCCAGCGCTGTGCTGTCGGTGCCTGTCTATCTCTCTCGCGGCATCTATTTTGGCTCTTTGGAAGAGGGACAATAGAGGGCGCATCCTCCGTTCCTCTCCCCTTTACAGCTGGCAATGTCTTCCATTTCTGTGCCTGGCTTCAGGGTGATGCACCACAAAACTTATGCAACACACATGGGCTGTCCTGCTGCTTGGCTTGGGCCTCAGGCACGCTCCGTCTCCTAACACGTATCGCCCATCCCACATCCTCATTTCGCCTCCTATGCAAAATGAACGTGTAGAATCGAATATTTCTCCCAGCAGGACGGTTCCCGGCCCTAGTGTATTTGTAGTCTACAGCAGTAGTTCGCTCAACTCTTTTCTCCTCCTCTGGTGCTTGTTCAAGCGCCTGTGCTACCGCTGCAGCTTCGTACACCGGCATTTGTGCCTACTCCGTCACGTCAATCGACTCTTTCTGTCCGGCTGCTCCTTTTGGAGGTTGGAGGAAAATATACCAAAAGGCGAAAACCCTTGTCCCATTTCCATGTCGGGCGGCCACTTTTTTTTTTTAACGTAACTGCGTTTGGACGTATGAAGTACATACCAGTACCGATAAACGGCGGCCGCGCTGGTCTGTTGTTCCTCAGCACGTGTGGTCGAACGGCAAAGATGCCGCTCTCCGCCCATATAACGAATGGTAGGGATTATATTTGCTTGTCTTGGTGTGGTAGACATGCTTGGAGCCAAAGCCTGCCTGTGGAGACTGGTGTTCTTTTTCTTTTTCGGGGCGGTGGTAGGGAAGCAACCAAGTGAGTTGTGGCATACAATCCTCGCCGAAATAAAAAGATATGCGTGATTGCGTTGGTTCCAAGGCAGGTGAGGTGTCGTCACCACGCCCCCCTTCTGCCTGGCCCGCAAAAACAAAACAGCGGCGCGTCCACCGTCCGCCCAGGCACTACAGTTGTACGAGTTTACGAGTGGCGTCTGACTGGGGGAAATGTTGCTTCGGAATTGATCGTGTTGATGTGTTGTCTGTTGGACTCTTCGACCATAAATAAGGCCCTACCGCTTGATTATGTCTGTTTGGGGTCAAGCACCAGGTTATGCGCCTCCCAAATGCATATGATACTCAACCATGTGCACATGCACCCTCGCGTCCCTTTGCTACTCCGAGTATTTGTTTTCAATGCCCGACCGGCGAACCGGGCGCTGCCTCCCACCTCCCACCGATGTCCGTCTTTCTCCATCACAGCAAAGTGCGCCTTGCACATTTTGGAGGTGGTTGTCTCCTGATGTCACAGACTGAACAGCTGCTAAAAGCCAACGAGAGTTGTTACTCCGCTACACTGAATATTCTCTCCCGGCAGCAAACATCCTGCTGGTACAATCGAATGGGTAGTCTTCCTGTGTGTGTATTTATTTTTCCGTAATCCATGGTATTGGTTTTGTGGCGGTGAAGCGCCAAGTGAAACATATTCCTCTTTCCTCCATTAACGTTGGCCTTTCGGTCTATTTGGTTTGATTCGTTCATGTGAACATTTAAACCCATACTGCTGTGTCTATTTACTGGTGGCAAAGGTTCGCGGGTCCGCCCTGCGGGATGAGTTCTCCTGTCCCATCACCCGGGAGCTCATGCGAGACCCGGTCATCGCTGCGGACGGCCACACCTACGACAGGGAGGCCATCGAAATGTGGCTGAGGAACCATGACACCTCTCCCAAGGTATGCCCAGGAAATGTGGTTGATCTTCATCTACTATTTGCTATTTACGTCATGCTGCTGTGTGTTTTCGGCTGTGCACTTAATTGCTGTTCATCTGCTTTCTAATACACACGTGGCCGTTGACCCTGTTTTGTTCTTTTACAAACTACAATCGCTCACTGTTATAGATGACCTCTCGAAGTGTATATGCTACCATCGTGCATATCATATAGGTAGACCACAGACAGCAAGTCGATGGGTGAGTGTGTTGGAGCGAACGGTTATTGTATGTAGTCGACACGGCCTATATTTGGCCGTTTGCGGGTGTGTTCGGCTGTTGCCCCCACGGACGCATCGGCCCCTGAATCAGCATGTTGATTTTTGTTTCGTGACCGCCGTGGCTTTCGGTGGCGTCCTCAACTTTGTCCTATTGGGACCCGACCCGACGTGTATTTTGCCTTGTGGTTGGTGGCATAAATGCGAGCCGGCTCGTTCATGTGTTTTTTTTTGTCATTAGCATCGACCGCACCAACCGGCTGACCGATGAAATGACGTTTTGTGTTTTTGTGTCATCCTGTGCCCAAACCGGCTTGTTTTTTTTTTCGTTCGGTGAAGTCAAGTGAAGCTTGTTGTTTGGTGTGATCATTGATGAGAGGACCTTGCGTCGCGGCTCTTTTGAATTGGCGAGAGTGCAATTTACGCACCCAGCGACCCGGCGGTTGTTTGTCCAGCAATAAACCACTTTCGAGTTTACTGGTACTGAAATACATGGCTCAAGCAGTCTAGGTTTGCGACGTGAGGAACTGCTGTGAACTGCTGTGAAGATGATGGGCATTACGGAGGCATCACCTTGGTACAAAAGTACTGCCTTGAGAGTTGCTGCTCCCACGATAGACTATCACGAGGACTAAGATTCTGCCGCCCCCCGGACCCTCTGTTTTTCTCCCGACAGCCATGTGTTATTTTTGCAGTCCATCAGTGTTTGTCATTCTTCTCCAACCTCACCTCACACCATGTGGCGTGCTCAGCGAACGGTTAGTCCAAATGGCTGTGTTCTATCTACCCGTCTCGATATAGAAACAAAACACGCATCCGCAGGAGGATAGGGGGGGAATTCACAAACGAACACATTAACATTTGCATAAATCAGCTCCTTCGTGACCCTACTGTATGCGGAGATTAATTGAAGTCATTTGGTCTTGATATTTACCGCACACCCCCGTCTGTGCGATAACTCGGGTATGTGCGGTACTCAAATAAGTATTTGCGCAACGTACACACACGCACATCAGTCACAACCAGTCGGCGCTGTTTATGCCATTTGAGAACGCACACAAGCAATATGCATATGAGGCGAAATAATACACGACCAAATAAGGAATCCTGACCACGGAGAAACAAAATTCCCCGCCGCCGAATGCACGCACACGCGACACACGGCAGTCGCTTGACAACCATGTCGGGGGTAGTTGTTTTAGCTTGTGATGTGGCTGCTGCTGTTCTACGTGATCTATGCATAGTCGATTCAACTGAAGTATCAATGGGAATCCGTTGTTTTTTACCTCCCTCATACCTCAACATGTGGTCTGCAACGATGCCATGTGTTGAAGTACAGCGGAGCTAACGCGCCAGCAACGGCATGGTTGGTTGACAGAAGTAAAAGTTTCTCCGAAACCGTTGGCATTCAACGACCCTAGGTAGTGAGTCATCGCGCCCCTGTGCGATCACTCCGGACCCTGTGCAAAAATCGAATTATGCAACTCAGCTGTTTGCTTTTTGTCGCACGGGGGGGCGATAACTCCGGACTGCTGTGCGATGACTCGCAATCTTACGGTAACCTTGGAGAACCCGGCGGGGGCGGAACGTTCTGAGGGGCGGGGGGAGGGAGTAAGTCATCAGTAACCAACCCAACCAAAGGGGGGTATGGTCTCCACGACACAGCAGGGAGGAAGCACGAACATAGGCCGTAGCCGGCAATGTCGTCAAGGTACAGCGTGGCTTACCCTGCTATAGCACCCGTTCAAAGTGGAAGGGCTGGTTTTGTTCTTGGTCGTTCTGCTGTCCTTTCCGCGATCTCCTTTCTCGTCTACTGCCGTCTCTCGTTGGCTGGACATGGATTGTTTTGGAGAGACGCCGTGACATGTCTGTGGTGCCTTTCGGTTTCATCAAAATGAAAGTTGAATTCAGCAACTTGTTATATTCTGCCACTCACCGAGCTTTTAAGTTGTGCGCTGTTTTGGCGATGCGCACCGGCCGGGCGTGGTACTGCAGCTCATGCCCATGCATTTTTTGGCACAGGTAGTGTTGGGGGCGGCGGGGGAAGGGGGGCTCTCACTTGAATCTCATCGACCGGGGGAATAAGACGTGTCGCGGTCAATACCCTCCACTCAATTTAAACGACAATCCCTTCTTTCTGGCTCTTGCTCTCAAATGCCCTCCCCACCCAACTCCAACGACGATCCCTTCTTTGTTTTTCCTTCTCTCAATACCCTCTACGTATCTCAAACGACACTCCCTTCTTTCTTTTTCCTTCTCTCAATACCCTCTACCTAACTCCCTTTCTTTCTTTTGTCCCTCCTCTCAGACTGGTCAGCCCATGGAGCAGCTGTCGCTGGTGCCCAACCTGAATCTGCGGCGGCTGATCAAGGACCTCCTAGCGGAAGGGGGCGAGGGTCTCTACGTGTACCGGGTGGACAGCGATGAAGAAGGCGACGGCCCCGGGGGGAGCAGCCGAGCGCAAGGAGGAGGAGGAGGGAGGCGGGAGAGGGGTAGGGAAAAGGAGGGCAACCGGGAGTACCGGTTCGCGCTCGTGACGGAGCAGATTCTCGTTCTCAAGGTGCGCGTTCGTGCGACAAACTAGCTGCAGATGCACGGTCCCTCCGCCTCACGTTTCCCCGCTAAAGACAAAAGAAGAGTGCGTGTGTGGATAATGTTTCGGGAGTCTTTGAGAGAGCACTGAAGAGAGCACCGTCTGCGCAGAAGGTGTTTGTTTGCGTGGTGACTTGGTATGACCCCTTGATCATAGTGGTGAGGTTCAGAAATTTGCGCGCCATTTCGCCGAATCCAACGGCTGCGATCCCACCGACAACAAAAACAGCTACAACCGTTCTACACCTCTGTCTTGTTTTGCGGCCGCGGTAAACTCAATAAATAGGAAATACAATAGGGTGGGCAGCCTCTTTATTTTGAAGCCTGGCGGATCATAAGCACGGCAGTGCGGGGTGTTCCACCCGAAGAAGGGTTTTTTGTCTCATGAGCCGGACGAGTTCTTCGAAACGTAAGAAGGGCGCCCTTTTTCAGCCATACTCTTGGCACCTCATTACGAGTGAATTGAAAAGCTCCAGTTAGGTTGCGGGTACGCAAGGCTAGATATTCGTACATAAAAGCATTTGTGCATTCGATGGACCAGCTATACTTGGGTAAATCTGTTTTAGGGCGGCTATTCCCGTTGAGAGAGGGCTCGACCGGCCGACCTAAACACCTCTCCGAGAATGACCAGTTTTTGACCCGCCATAGCTCGACACCGAACTTACAAATCATCACGATGAGTTGTTTGAGGGTGCCTGCCTCTGGTTTCTCTGCAAGCAACGCCTCTCTTGCTTCACATCCGTAGACTCAAGCGGTGGTTTGGGATGTGGTTGATTGTGGGTGGCGATCTGCAGAGAGTCAGAGTCACAGCACCACCAATTGTTTGCGGAGTGTCCGTGCCCGACTTTTCTTCTTTCAAGAGTCCCAACTTGTGTATACCTCAGATCCAGGCTACTTGAAGCACAGATATGATTCAAAGTGCGCCAGGATTAGACCTTTTTCAACCACGATTAGGGGCTGGGTGATATCTTCGGGTATGAGTCATGTTGTTCGGTTCTTGTTTGTTTCCGAGTATCACGTCTGTTCGAATTTTGGGGCGGATAGTCCGGACCGATAGCACCTGGAGTTACCGATGCTCCGCAGAGACGGAACGTGCTTCCCGCACACGTGTTGTGTGTGAGGTCTTCTGGATCTGAGAGTTCGAATAAACTCCGGCACAGCATGTTGGCACAACGTGCGGTTTTCCTTCGATAAAGATAAACCCTTCATCAACACGAGATACATAAATATAGCCAACTCTTCGCGTTTTCGAACGAGTCAAAGCTCTATTGCTCGCTATTAGTAGTATCACATTTTGCGCCACGCTGGTGCTGCTGCTGCCGTCGTCGTCCGTTTTTTGTCTTGTTTTGGCAGTGCTTGGGCCCCACGGACTCGGACTGGAACGACAAGTCCTTTCGCGTAACCGAGCGCGGGTGTGTGGGTGGACGCAAGCAGCCGGCTATGCTTGCTGGGGCGGACTTCATGCAGTTCTCGGATGCCACCGTCAGCAGGCGCCACTTCGGCATCATCTTCGACAAAGAGGTGTGTGTGCGCGCCGGCACGTCTGGTGAACAATGCACATGGCTAGGGCATGCGCCAAGACAGACATGATCTCTGTTGTGTATGGCGTTAAATGCACCTGGCCAGGGCATGCGCCAAGACGAACATCTCTGTTGTGGTGTAGGCTTTTTTCCATGGATTCTTTCAAACCCCCAACCCACTATAATAGCGCCACCCCGAAGCAGCCGGCAGCTCGTGACCAGGAGAACGCGAAATAGGCTCCGCAAAAAGATCGTATGTTAGGTTAATTGAGTTCGCCTGGAGGCGTCTGGCCATCAGGCGGGAGCAGCCGCAGCCGAGGAAACGAGGTTGTAGCGGAATGCATACCATCATGGCCTGTGGTCCAGGCGACGGTGTTCCATCGTGTGCTTCTTGGCACTCTTGGGTGCTGCTGCTTTCGCTAGGTGGTCAGACGCCTCCAAGCGAGAGCTGTGGTAGCCCGCTTCTCGTGCAGCTCCGATCACTCTGCCGAGGCCTGTTTCGCTTTCTCATGGTCGCGGGCAGCCGCAACAGCCCGCGTGCTCTTCATGTCGGGCACCATCAGTACGTTTCGTAACGCTTTTCCGGAGCACACCCAGAAGGTTTTCTCTCCCCGATGCCCCCCGTCTACCTTTCTCCAGTGCTTGCTTGCGAGTCCGTAAAGCGAGGGTGGGTTTTCGCCGGTCCCTCCCCTCAACATGTAGATTTTCATGTACACCGCCGCCTTCGCTGCCACGACTGTGTTGGATACTCACCTACCTCGCCCCCGACATTTTGGGTTGTCGCAGTCGACTATATAGACAAGAGAGTTTCGTTTCCTTATCTCTAGAGTCAGGTCGGTTGGAGGAACTGGGCAAAGGCCAAAGCGATTTGAATTTTCTGACAGCGACCATGATAGCTTCCACTTGCTGGAGCCACTCCACCCATGAGTTCGCATTTAACCGCGGACGGGTGGAGGTTTATACCCCAGTTGTTGTCCAATTGGCCTTTTTGCTCCCTGAAGACCAGGGTCGAATGGAGCTTCGTGTTTGTCAGGGTCGCCTGTGAGGTGGCATCTGTGCCAAGTCGACACGGGCATGTGTCGTGGTTGAGTCCAAATGCTTTCGCTCCGGTTGCCCGGCTCCATATCCCACCCAGCGCCTGTCTTGACGTATTTCTGCTATCCCGTCCACCCTCCCACCACTTCGCCCGTCTTCCAGGAAAAGCAGTTCTCGCTGTGCGACTTCGGGAGTGCAGGCGGGACGTTCGTTCGCCTTGCGTCAGGCGTGCCCACTCCGCTTTATCCCAGCATGATGATCATGCTCGGGAAGCACCAGGTGTGTCGGTCGTGCTCTTCTCTGCAGGGGGTAATCCCGCACCAAGCACCTTAGCTTGGAAGCAGTCGGCAAATGTTTTGAGAGGTTACCCTCAAGTTCCGTGCTGCAAGAGGCGTTTATTGTACCCCTACTAGGTGACACGTATACACGAAGCCAGATGTTGAAGGCGTCTTTGCTCTACTGCGGCTTTAGAAACGCGCCGCCAAGCGGAGGCGCGTGGACTCCCGTTGCAAGCACCGCACCTCGCCGCTCCCTTCGCCTCATCTTGAACCCCCCGTACCCCATGCCCTTGCCCACGCACTCCCGAACACCGCCTCAGCTGGAGATTACAAACGCGTGCCCTGAGGACGTTGATGTAAAGGCGGTCGATGCCGATGGTGCGTCCATCGCCGCGGAGGACAAGGGCGGCGACGACGCATCGCGTTCGAGACCGTCGAGACCAGGCGACAATGCTTCGGCGGCGGCGCGCAGCAGGGGCACGGCGGGAGTCAAGGAAGGCGCCACGACCGACCAGGAGGAAAGCGGCGGCAGGGGCGGGCAGCGAGAGCGGGCGCGCCCCACGAGCGCACAGTCAGCCAAGTCGTCGTCGTCGTCGAAGGTGGAGGAGGAGCTGTCGGTGCTTAGGATCGGGGGGGCGGGAACGGGGGCGGACGGAGTCTCGTCTGCGGGGGATGGCCCCGCTGGCGGCTTGCTCCTGGACAGCGTGGAGCACAGGGTGAGGCAGGACAGCAGCCGGTCGCCGCTGCCGCACGAGAACGCCGCTGGCGGGGAGGACGATGCAAGCGTTTTGGACACCCCCCTGCAGGATAAGGTGAGAGAGAGGGAAGGCTCTGTGCCGAAGGCGCTGACTAGGCTGTGGCTTCTTGTGTGTTTGCCAGCGTATGTACATGCTTTCTGTGGCTCATTTGCCCGGGGGGGGGGAGGGGGGGGGTTCCCGCAAGAGCAAAAATGAGCTCGACTGGGCAACATCTACGGCGCCTGTGTAGAAGAAGTAATATCTAAAGATGATAATCATCCTTCTTCAGGTCCATTAACATTCTCTACTGCAATTAAGCTTGGCGAGCGGTGCTGAGCAACATCATTTAACAAGACCAGGATTGTCACCTTTAACGAGGCCTTCTTCAACCAAGGTATTCTCAAGAGTGTTTATTGCCAAGTCAGGATTCGCTAATATTAAGTGGCTTCGTTGTTCCGGGGCTCCCCCGCGACCGTTTGTCTTGCCTGCCCTTGTTTGGCGCTCGGCACAGCACGGAGAAGGAGAAGGAGGCGCCTCGGGCGACGAGAAGGAGCTAGAGGGGCTCGAGAGGTCATTCGAGGCCGGACTTAAGCTTGCACGGGGGCACCGAAGAGTCTGCTTGGAGTGTTTCGCGCCGGAAGGGACCCCGATACAGGCAAGCAATTACGCGTCGCCCCCCCCCCCCCCCCCTCCCCGTTAGTATTGTGTGCGGGAACGACGGGCAGCCTTTGTGCGGGTGCAGGCGCTGCTGTTGTGCGGGTCGGTATGTAGGCAGCCCGTTTTCCCAGCTCCCTTGGATGTGTAGGGCTGCGGTATTTTGAGATGTTTTTAGCGCATGCTGATGCAGCTGGCGCTAGCTGTCACGAACCACCAAGGGTTGGCTTGTCGCGAGGGAGGCGAGATCGGACCACAGCTCATGTTCGAGAGTACGGATGTGTGTTGAGCCGTTCCCTGTATCCATTTGTTTGCAGAAACGCGTTATTTCTCGTCTGAGCTGCCAAAGGCAACACGCCTGCCTCCCCTTCAAGGAGAAGACAACGCTCAGCCTCGAAGAGTTCCCACTCAGCCTTGAATAATCCCGCGCGCGCACCGTCTGGCGCCTCTGGTCTCTCTCCACGCATTACGCCATTCTACCCACCAACAGGGAAGCCGTTTCTTCGTGGGTAGAGAAGGGGCCACCCTCGGGCGGCGGCAGACCAACACCATCGCCTTCTCCCACGAGTCTGGCGGGACCGTGATGGGGATAGACGCCTCCATATCGGGGGAGCACGCGAGGATCGTGTACGACGAGGAAGGCGACTTCTTGCACATCATGGACGGCACCCCGACCAAGGTGGGTCGAGCCTGTTGCGGTTGGTTGTCCTCGTTGTGCGGCCCCTCCTTCCAACGAGAGAAGCTTCGTGGCTGCACGCCGGGAAAAAAGTGTCCTGTTGCAACACGTGTGGATGTACCCGTAGGTTGCATTAAGATATGCATACCACACTCCCTGGACCGATTTTCAAAGCTCGATTACTCCACGACGAAGAGGATGCCGAAATTGAGGTATACGTTTTCGGAAAGCTCTTGACGGGACGGTTCCAACGCCTCCCGCCATTTTCGGCACCGTCACTGCTTTTCCTGCCGAGATATCGAGCTTCGAAAATTGGTCCAGGGGGTGTGACATAATATGCAAACGTACTGCTGTACACGCATGTGTTGAGATGAACGACACATTTTATCGCGGGGCGAAGAAAACCGCCGCAATCCCTGGGTATGCAATGATTTGGTGTAATGCACGCACGCAACGGACAAGAGAGCTTGACGTTTGCGACGGTGACCGCTAAATCCTCATGTGGAAGCAAAGGTATGTAGTGCAAGGGCCTTCGCTGCCAATCCCAACACCTTGAGTTACCCATACATGCATGTGTCTACGCCCCGTTTCTTTCCTTGACTTGCAGCCGTCTACGAACGGGACCTGGTTCCGGCTGAGCGGGATGCACACGGAGAGCAGGCCGTATCCCCTGTCCAACGGCGCCGAGATCCTGATCGGGACGGTGAGGTTCGGGGAAGGGGGAAACCGACGGCGTGAACCTCTATAATCGTAGGCGTTGGCGCACTTGGTGTTGGCACCTCGGGGGAGCAGGGCCCTAGCGTAAAAGAGTAGAGTAGCAATCAGCTGGCGCTGTTGTCTCTGCAACACTATCTGGGCTCGTGTAGTTGACTAGGTGCGGTAGTTGTGCTGGGAGATGCGGCGAGTTGTTGACAAGACACGGTAAGTAGAGAAAAAAAAAATCCCGGGAAAGAAGACAGCAGTAGCTTTCAAAAAGTCGAGAAAAGGCAGAGCGACGGCAAGAAGGCTGAATTGTGTGCCGCCCACTGCTGTGCAGCCGCGATGGGCGGCGTGTTTGGCAAAGCTGTGACGGTGTGGTTTACGTCTTGGTTTTGGATAGCGAGGCGAGCGATACAAATGGCTTTGTTGTACATGCGATCGCTCCTGTGTTGAATGCTACCTACTGCTTGTCTGTGTGTGGAATCCTTTCGTTCTGAGAAATCGCTCCCCCTTGAATGCGCAACGGTTTTTAACAATCACAGGTTCGATTCTCCGTGACGCTGGAGAGCATGGTGGTCGAGAAGGAGCTTACCGTGGACAACCGAAATCACTTCATGTCCCTCGCAAAGGATCAGGACCGTCGATCCTCGCCGCCGTGGGGAGCGGGTAGACAAAGCGGTAGCCGCGGCGGGAGGGTCGACCAGGCCAACCGGTCGGGTCGGTGACTTGACCCACTTGTCGTTACACGAAGTGTGCTTCTTGTTTCCCTGACATGCTGGCTGTGGAAGAGAGGGTGGGAGAGATAGAGTGCATCGGGAGGAGGGGGGGATGGGAGGCCTCCTGAGAATCAAGGTGGACGAATCAATCGTGTGCTTCTTTCTTCTTTTTTTTTGCTGTTGACTCGTTTCTTGTTTCAGCCGTGCGGTGTGAATGGATGTTGTTTTCTTAGACGAGCAGGGAAGGAAGGCGGTGGGTGGCGTACGGGCCTTTTTAGTTCCCACCGATGGCCGGCGGTGTCCGGGGGGCAGTTGAGATTGGGAGGGAAGTGTCGGAGGTTGTATACCATATCGTATGTTCTACGCTGCGTGGCGCCTACCTTTGTCTGTGCCACCACGAACGTGCGATGAATAAACGTGTACTCTAGGTCGGGGAAGAAGATGGTTTGAAATGTTTGGGTTGGTCCACACTGCTGCTTTTTTGCATTTTTGTGTGCTGGTCTGGCGCACGTTCCAGTCGCGATAGGTTTTTGTCCGGTGGGGTGTGGCTGGGTGAGTTTTTCGTCAAATCATGGGTTGCTGTTCGAAGGATGCGTGCGTGTGCCAATAGGACAGGATGCGAGGGCTCGTTTTCGTCGGGCGTTCTCCGCGCGCTAGATGAACTTTGTGTTGTACGACGTTTGTTTTCGTCTTTCCGCATTTTTGTTTTTGCGTCTCCTGGTGGGGTAGGTGTGGTCTGATGTCCCCCGCAGTTCATGCTCGAACTCCGTCACAGCACTACTGCTGTACTAAATACGTTACTGCGTGTGGGGACTGGTGCTTTCCACCTCACCCCGCTACAATATTTTTCGCGGTACTCCTCCGGAACATGTGATGAGTTGCGTCTTCGACTGAGTACGACAGACAGCAGTTGTAGGAGACATTGTGTCGCCACCGCGAACCAGCCAGGCCATATGCATACATACGTGGGTGTGAAGGATGGAAGCTTGAGCCGTGCAGGCGAAGAGTTGGTTTTGAGCTCCCATGAGAGCAGCTCTCATTTAGCCACTTACTTCGAGAGCAAGCTGCGTGGCAATAATCGATCACTCCGCTTCCAAAGGCCGGCAGGTGACGGGTTAGCTTGAACGACGAGAACGCGTTCTACCTACGCAGGGTTCAGGGCAATCACTAGTACCAGACTGGTTGCGTTTTGGGGCGAAAAAAATCGCACTCACAACTAATCATGAGTGATGTTTCGCTTTCGGACCAATTGCACCTATAGGCGAGTCGGATGGATGATGATGTGGTCGGGCTGTAGGTCGACCAAGACGACGTCTGTGAACATACATGTGTGTCTATCAATGAACGGACATGGCTCGGCTGTATATTGACGGTAGATTCGGGTACTTTGCTGAGATTTTTGTACGTAGTCTAGATAAAAGGTCGTGTCGTGTGGGTGGATGTATGTTTTGTTGGCAAGAAAAGATGATACAGAATGAAACCATCCCCGTACTGTCACTGATCGATCGCGATGGCCGCGTTGGAGTACAGACAGGGAGAGATTTGCGGCGGCGTTGAAGTCTCCATTTCTTTCATTGATTGTCGGGCGAAAGGAACGAATTGAAGAAGTAAATTCTGGGAATCGATCAGCGGTGCAGCGACAGTCTTGCTCGATTTTTGAACGAAGGCACGCACCCCTCCACTGCCGCTGCTTGTGTTGCGGCGCGACCAACCGTGCAAGGGTGCGCAGAATGCGAGCTCTGTTGTTGCAGACGGGAGCAATTTACTACCCGGAAATGCAATGTCGAAACTACTACAAAGAAGAAGGTGTTGTGGTACTCGGGGCATGAAGTATCTTTTTTTCACGCATGCATCGGCCGGCTATGGAGGACAAGGTATTCTACATATATAATATATATATATGCACAACACATCCAACACATTGATTGCTCTACATGCGTAGCGTAGCTCCTTTACATGTAACGTATTGGTATCTCTTTAGTATGCCCCCCCCGCCTAATATTTTTTAGTCGTCGGGTTGGTTCCGGTTTTCAACACGAAGCTCAAGCTCATCAACCTTTACTTGTTGTTTGTGTGTGCGAGAATTCCTCATTTTCCCACGAAAAATAATCGTTTCCCACCACGGGAGAGATTCTCCTACGTGGAACGCATAGTATTATTTTATGCCCATGATGAACCCTGGACTGGCCCTCCTTGTAACTACTACTGACCAGCTGCTACTGCCTGCTGTGTCTGTCGCTCACCTCTCGGCTTGCTGATGGCTTCATGGCATTGCATCATCGGAAAAAAAAAAAAAACATTCCGAAAGATACAGGAAAGATATGACCCGCTCACACAACAATTGCCTCACTCGCACAACAACAACAAAAAAAAATGGTGTGAGTGATTGAGGTACGTTCGTGCATATACTTTACAACATCAATCAGCTTCAAGACCGCGGCGGTGTGGTGATGGTATAGACTGGCGACGACGCGTCATGGTGCTGCAACACACTACTTATTCCTTACTTCGTAGACCTAATTCTGGGGCAGTAGGCTGTCCTTTCTCGACTATATATATATTTACAAGTATCTACATTTAATTGCATCTACTATCTGTCTTCTCTTTTCTCTCGCTCTTCTAGCAAGAAGACTATAACTAGACTAGACTATGCCCCAATCAACGGAGATCGATATGCTTCTGTCTTCCACCCGTTCGTTGTTGTTCTCTTCGTTCAACAGACAACAACAGCCAAATATTCAAATAATTACTGCTATCAACCATGAGAGAGAGAAACGAACGGCCTTCCTCTGTCGTGCAAGGAAAAAGGCACGACATCATGATACATACATCATCATCAATCATCTGAGATAATCTGCCAAGACAAGGGTTGTTGTTGTTGTTGTTGTCTTCAAAGAAAGGGTGTGAGTCACGGAGGAGGGAGAGGGCAAAATGCGAATTACGCATCTATCTCGTGTCGATTGACAAAGTTTGTTGTTGCTATTATAGCAGCAGCGGCAATAGCAGCCAGCTCCCCGAAGAGACAAGGGGGGGGGGAGTGAGTGGTACCAGCGGGCGAGAGAACGAAAGGAAGAAGAATCAGTCAGGAAGAAATATTGAGTCCTCCTACTACTGCTGGTGTACATACTCTGCTAGATACGCGCACCCGGTTACATGATTCATTCAGTAGGTGTCGTGGCAACATCATCTGTAAAAGAGGCCTCCTTTGCATCTCTTCTTCACGGGATGGAGGCCGAGACATGCTATCGCGAGGGTCTGAAACAGATACATAGAACGAGCAAGAGGCTGTGTGCGAGTAGGGAGGGGGACAGGCTGGCTGTATTTCGTGAGCTTTTCGGCAGTAGACACAAAGAGGGATATTTCCACCCATCACCTTTTTTTTTTTCCAAAAATTCACACCCTGCACAGATGCGCTGCTGTTGGTGCGCACAACACTGGCAGAGAAGGTTTATTTTAGTACCAAGTGGTGGCTTGGACTGCAGCAGGGGGAATGAAGAAGAAGCGGCCCCAGCATTCCCGACATCAGAAGATGAGCGTGGCGCGGGGGAAGAGCGATGGCATGGTGCTAGCCCGGCGAGATCGGGATCCCTCGTGGAAATGGTGGAAGGTATGACGGATAGATTCATCCGCTCCCGCCAGACGCCGTGTGATGTATATGTCGGTTGCTGTGGTGTCGTGCGCCGCCGATAGATGATGGCCGCCAACCTCGAGCGTTTTGGAACCATGGGCGAGCGCGTAGACCTCGCTTCCGGCGGGCGTGCCCCCCGCTAACACCGCCTTGCGTGCGTGCGATGGTCTGTGCCTTTCGGGGAGGCGGCAGAGAGGAGAGACGGGCGGGACTCGATTTCCGACCCTTTTCATTACCGGTCGATACAACGGCGCGCATAACCCTGCGCAGGCGGCACGGCTTGTGGTGGCATCCGTCGCCCCCTTGCATCGGATGGCCCCTCCTGCCAAGCATGGAGAGGTGCCAAGCGGATGGGGTGAACGGATGGAAGTAAGGCGGCGTGCGAGGCGGCTTGACTCGAAAGCCATCCGGCGACAGCAAGGAGTAGTGCAACTTCCGATCGCTACAAACAATCGCACAGCTACAACCCTTCTTGTTTCAAAAGGTGTTCTCTTCCTTGCTAAAAAAACAGTTTTTGTGCTCTGACATTTGAAGGTCGTATGAACTGACTGCTGCACGGCGTGCTCGTTGCTTGTTTGTTGCAACAGAAGCGGCCTGAAAGCGCGGGGCCTAGCAACGGGAAGTCGACATTCGGCGCAGTCCTTCGTCCGTTCAAAGTCGTCTCGACTCAAAATATGAGGTTCATGGAGGTGAGTTTAGGTGTCTGCGCGGGCACTTCGATCGGTCGCGTGTGATTTTGTAGGTGTCCAATATTCGATCTCCTCTCCAGCAGTGGGCAAGGAAGGCCTCTCTCTTTCTCCTCCACCTGTACACTGAACTGCTCTAGCTTCTTCCGCTCGGTCAGCAGGTGGCTGGCTACCTAAAAATGAGCCATCGTCCATACCTACATTTTGCCGACTGCGCCAACTAGCTATGATATGCATCATGGCGACAAGCAACATGGTACATGCATACGAACGAGTATGTACATACGATATGATGATGATGAAGATAACGTTCTTTTATTTTCAAGACGAAAACGGTCGGCATTATTCCGTGGTTTCTCTGTCTTTGTAGTATAAAATGTGAAATGTATATTTTGTTTGGACAACAAGTTACCAGGCGCGGGGCAGGCGTGTCTGTGGGCAACCAACAGACAAACAAAGTGTTCGTGTTCTGATCTATGATATCTGTGTTTTATAATGTTTTCCCACCCACGTATCAAGGGTATGAAGTATGTATTGGAGTGCAAGATCGACTTCCACCCGTATTATTCAGGTCGAGCTCACTTCCTGTCCACATCTCATAGCGCATGTGGGCCGACGCTGCGATGTCGCCGGCTGTTTGGGTCGTTGTGAAGTGCGACAAATGCTCCGACCTAAATAGTTCCAGCGCCCCTTGCTCTGCGCTCTACATACGAAAGAAGCGGATTTCCCTTGGGACACCAGCCTTCCCATGTTTGTGGTTTGGGTGTGTGTGTGTTGGGTGTTCAGTTCAGTCTATGCATATATGCATGCACGACCGTAGATACATACGTGCTTGAGTTATCAAATGAAACATACATGTACCACCACCGTTCTAACGAATACATAGCTACCGAGACTACTGCTTGTAACAACTCCATTGTATGTCCGGTTCGAGACAAATCGGGGTCTTGCACATGGTGTAGGGCCAACGTGACAATCCCAAGAAAATTCCGTATGAATGTAGACTATGTAAGGAGGGAAGGAAGTGAAGCCCCGTCCAGAGGCTACAAGTACTACTACAACAGTTTTTGCGATGTTGAGGAGAAGTTGTCGTCCTACATCTCTTGGAAGGGAGAAGGGGGGCAGCGGTCATCATCGGGTCTCGCGTTCCCGATCATGTACATTGGCCAGTAGGCCAGCCCCCGACTCCACCCGTGAGTCACCAACAGACCGTAAACAGACCTCCCGCTAGCCACTTGGGTCCTGTCGGTGTAAAGAAAATCTTCATCATGATACCAATGGGTAGTCTTTCTGTGCGTGTATTTATTTTTCCTTGATCATACCTCCCAATGTGTGTTCTTCGATTCCGTCTCCTTTTATTGTCTTCCCAATAAGAACCGTTCCGATCTCTCTACCCAGTACCTTTTCTGTCCGTACTTGACGCGGGTCGATTCCCGTGGTCACAGGCTAACGCACCAAGCAGAGAGGTGCACTATCGTACATACTCCGAAGTAATGAACCAGATAATAGTACAAAATGCTGTGGATTTCGTCCCCGACGCTGCAACATCGACTGGGCAGTGTGCGAAACATCACAGACAGATGGTACTACGGTACTACTGCGACTGTAAAATACATAGCACACGCAGAGACATTGTTGGTATTGACCATCAAAACTGGAGTTGTTGCGATTCCAAGTGGTGTTGTCCTGATCTTTTTATCCATGAAGATGGCCGTCCTGGTCTCTTCAGCATCTCCACTTTCGTGCGTTTGTTGGTTGCTTGCTCTCCAAGGCAAAGAACCAAATGCTGTGGCCACAACAAAAACAGCTCACGCACCATAAATATTTCAAAAGTGGAGATCCATCGCACCTGGTGACTTGGGGTACGGTCGGTGCATTGTGGCATGATGCGGAACAGAATGTCGTCATATCTTGCGCATGTCTATTCCTACGCCGTCGTGCGCCATCACAGCGGTGTACAGTCGCCAAAGAGTCTTACGTCCCTACTGTAATCAAGAGCCAGTGCGAGTATCGGCAGGACACTCTTCAGTTATTTTTGTTGACTTGAGGATCGATCGTGGCGTGGAACGCAACAAGGGGGGGCGGGGGACAATTTGATGACTGACCCTTTCCGTCCCCAATCACGGGTCTGGCTGCAAAAGGGGTTCGCCGTACTTCACGGCCCCCTCTTCTGGCAAGCTAGATTACTCGCAGGATGAAAGATACCCCAACACACCAACCGCGCCATGCCAAAAGCAACCGCTGCGCCTTACAGTACCACATGGCTCGGAGTCATGAATGCTTGCCGCTCTCTTCCTTCTCTTGTTCTCTTGTTCCCACCGGGACTTGAAAACCCGGTGTGTGCAGTAGCAACTTGTAACGAAGAACTGAGTGAAGCAGTCCCTGAATGCCCGCGCGGTTGACACCGCCGGGCGAAAGAAAAGATGTGCCGACCAATCACATCTACCGCTCCCGATTGTCACCACCGTAGACCGGTGCACGCGCACGTAACATATGGTAAATTTCCGTCGCCACGACTACATCTATGAGGGACTGATTTGAGTGTTCCAGTCTGTAGGTAGGCGTTTCTTGGTCCCTCTCTCGGTTGCGCCTCGCCTGTCAAAAAACCACGCCGGCCATTAGACACATCAGTTACTACCACTTCTTGCGGTGAGGCTTTGTGGAGTCGACAAATGAGGAAGCGTGATTGTGTAAATGATGTTGCGCATTGCGACAGACGTACTAACCCCCACCACCACCACCACCACCACCACCACCACGCCCTTTGACCTTGCCGGTCACACTCTGTCTGACGCCTGTGTTTTGGCAGGACGGGTTTGATCTGGATGTTGTCTACGTGACGAAGCGAATAATCGTGCACGGCGTTCCCAACGTCAGCGCAGGTATGTTGCAGGATCGATCCAGGCCCAACATCTGAAACTCTCGTCGAAAAACTTTGGGTAGTAGGAACCGACCGTCCCTCTTCAGAGCTCTTCTGCAGCTGTTACTGTAGTTCCACCGCACAACCTCTGTGTTGCTATCAAGTATTCATGCATAGATATCTGCTGTAGCAGCTTGTGTCCATACTCGGGCGGCGTCTGACCGGGCAATGGAATGCGACGGGGCGGTGGACCGTGTACTGTACCGGTAGATCCATTGTACGAGGACCCGCGAACGGAGGTGCGACGGCTGCTGGACAAGTACCACTGCGACCGGTACAAGGTCTACAACTTCGCCAGCGAGCTGGCACAGATGACCCCGCCGACGCACAGGATGGACACGCGTGTCGAAAGGTGCGGGACGCAGTTTTTCGCAACACCCCGTAACCGTACCGCTGTGCTCAGCAGATCGACTGTTGCTGCAGTAAAGCCTCGGTCTGCTGTGGCGTCTGCTGTTGCACGTCCTCTCTATATATAGTGCATGGAGGGATTGAAGGTATACTATTAGCAGGCGCACGCGGATTGCCTACTTGGATCGCAATTTCTTTTGTTGCTTTTCCAAGAAAGTCCGCGTCATGATGGGGGCTGTAACGTTGCACGCGATGCCGCCTCTCCACCAAACTTCATGGCATGATCTGATCTGCCCCACAGGTACCCCTTCACGGACGATACCTGCCCCCCGCTGGAGTCCGTGGTCGACTTCTGTGAGAACGCCAAGGCTTGGCTAGACGCTCACGACGATAACGTGGTCTCCTTGCACTGCAAGGCCGGGAAGGGGAGGGCGGGGATCATGGCGGCGTGTCTGATGGTGCGGATGGGAGAAACTGCCCAGGCGGCGGTAGCACGTTATGATGCGGTGAGAAGAATAGGCGGAGGGGGGGGGGGGGGGGGGTACTCATAGTCGTGCATGCCGTAGTCGTTTGACCATTGACCTCGCATCCCTACAAAGCCGGGACGGAGCACGCCGGGTTCTCACCGGACCAGGCTCTCACATCACCAAGCGCGAAGCGCCGTGAGGTATTTGGCGAGTCCCATGAAGGGGGAGCTGCATTCTGCTAAGGGTGTTCGGCATCTTGTGCTTACTTCCTTGCGTACGGATGACAGCTACGTATGACTTAATTTATTTTCTGGTGCTTTTACTTCCAGAGACAGTTGTAAGCACTGTGTAACTGCCTCGAGGAAGCTTGACCATTTTAACACAACGTGGTGCGATCATCCCCCGTTGCGCGGAGTGAGGTTTCTCCACCCCGCACAACATGATCTAGGGTGGGGGGGGGGGAGTACTCTGTTTTGCATGCCTTGGCCGTTAGACCATTGACCTAACAGGCGGAGGGGTGGTGGAGGGGGGGCGCTGGAATGTAGGAATGTTGCAAAAGTAATCTGGGGCAGGCGGGGGTGACCCATGTATATATCGCCACCTGGCTCACCCCAAGTACAACGAGCTTGGAATGTATCACCCCGAATTTCATGCTCCTGCAACCTTTCGCTATTCTACCGTAGTGTACGCTGCCCGATATCTACGGTGGAGTGAGTTGTAAGCGCTGGGTTCTGTCTCCGTCATTCCTGTCGTCGAGCAATGTGACGGCATTTCAGTGCAGTGACATATCCCTTCGCCTACAACTCTCGGTTCCCTCGGCCGTATGAACCCAGACCCAGGGGGCGGCCATCAAGCGGGCGGGGGTAAACCACAGGGCGTGGGTTTTCCTCTACGAGAGGCTGATCAGGGAGGTGAGGCCGGCGTCTGATCGCCTGTGGAGTTTGGTGGTGCTAATCGAGATTGCCCGACCGAAGGCAGCGAGCGGCAAATCGCCGAGAGAGGTTGTAAGCCACCTTCGTAGCCAAAATCACAGCAGCGCTTGGAGCGCGTCTCAAAGTCTTGCCACCGTACGAAGCTCGTGTCTTGCGCTGGACGACGCTCGGTCATCGTCTGATCAGGACTTTGCACACCACTCCGTTGGTGATGTGCTCAAATCACAGGTGTGGGGCCTGCGGGAGACGATAGGGACTGTCTCGGGACAAAACCCTGGCTTGAAGGCGCCGCCACGGCTGGCCACCAGCATTCGGGACGTGTCGTTGCAGCTGAAGGTCCCGCCCCGACAACGCCGATGGAAACAGATCCTGGTGAGCTGAGTCAAAGCCCCCACGAGACGATTCGGGTACAGCCGCAGCCTCTGGTGCCCTGCCTTGGTATATGTGGATACGGTAGTCTTTCGTGGCATGCGCATGTATCTCGGTGGTTTGGGTCTTGCTGGCGAGAGTAACTACTGCTCTGGTGTGTTTTACTGTCGTGAACCCTTTCCATTTGGGAGCGGCCGGTTGCTTGCCAAATAAACAACGGTTTGCAGGTTGAAACGCCTGCTCCTCGCGAGAGTACGAGGCAAAGTTCGGACGTTCTTCCTTTCGAAACTGACGCGCTTCCTTCCTTCCTTACATCCTCGGTGTTGTTGCGTGCTCGGCGTTCTTTGTTGCGAAGCACCATCCGTCGTGCGCCGTGTATCAGCAGACGCCCGCGGGCAAGGCGTTGGTGCACCGAGCCAGGATGCCTTCCGTTTCGCCGAGGAAACGGGGTCAGGAGAACTCGGTTTTCGCGGCTGCTCTTCCTCGCAGCGTTGTCGTGGAGGGGACCTTTCAGGCAAGTCCTACACCTCGGTTATAGCGCACGGGGGGGTGATGTTGCCAATCCGTGGTACCGGAGGCTCACGTCGATCGAAGGCGAGAAGGGCTTGGTTGTGCGGGTCGCTCGCCGACACGGCAGGCGAAGGAACACTGGTACTTTCTCCGACGACGACGCCCGGTAGGTTCCCGCGATGGCTCACACTACAATACTTGCCTTGATTCCTTGCCTTTTGGGGTTCAACTGATGGGCTTCCAACAGGTGGTTGTTTCTGCTGCTACCGGGCTGTTCGGCATGGCCAAGAACGTTCTGGACGTGTGGTGCAACACGACCTTCCTGGAGGAAGACGGTGAGAGTGGGGAAGACATGTTCTGGGAGAACAGAAACGACAAAGAAAGAGTTTCTCGGAAAGAGCTAACGCTCATCGTACTATGAAAGTCAAGGCACCCCTGAGCGTCGTCTGTCAATACCTAGCTCTTCCTCGGCTCAGTTACCTTGATTCTTGTCCAGAATGTTTCGCGACCTACTTCCCCAGGAACCACTGACGCGGTATTCACGAAGAGCGCATGTAGTCACATTTTTCTTTTGTCACTGGCGTTTTTCCTTCTTGTTTGCTTCCACGATTGCTTGGTACATACATGACACATCGCGCCTAGGCTTATGTATGTCGTTCGCCAACCTGAGGGAGAGAGAGCCCTCTGAAGGCAAACCCTTTTTTTGGCCTCTCGTGTTGCTTGACGCAAAACGGCCCACAGGAGGGCGAGAGCTGTTCACCTTCACGGAGAACGACCTGCCTCCAGGGCCGCTGGCGAAGCGGTTGCTAGCCGCAAACGTGTCGGTGGTGCTCACCCACACCCCGCCGGACGCCCCCAGCCCGGACCACCGCCACGTTCACGCCGTCAATTGGGAAGGGATGGATTGTCTCGACGGAGTGGAGCCGGACGCGACCCCGACCAGCGGCGCTCTGACCCTGATCGGTCAGGTGGGACACTCGGTCACCCCGGACACGGACCCGGAGGAGGCCAGCGACGAATCCATGTACGAGAACATGGTCACGGGCAACCACCACACCGCGGGGCCCCCAGACGTATACAACTCTCCGGCGAAGGGGCTGGCCCAGACGTCGTCGGACGACGAGGACGACCGCCGTCGGTTCTACTTCTCGGACGACGACGACGACGAGTCGGCCAAGGGCACGCCCGCGCGCTCGCACGCGTCGCTCCGCCTCGCGAGCGGGGTCGGGTCCCTGCGGATACTGGCGAGCCCTCCGAAGTGGAGCATCCAGGACCCCCACGGTATCTTCGCGAGCGGCGGCGGCGGCTTCACGACGCCCAAGTCGACCAAGCTCCCGTCTCCCATGCGGTCGTGCCCCCGCTCCGCGATATCGTCCAAGAGGGAGAGGCTCAACGAGCGGACCGACGAACGGGAAGCGTTGGCTCGGCAGCAGTCAGCGGCGGCGCCGCACGGCTTGCCTCGATGGACCAGCTCCGGCTCCAAGGCAAAGGCTATCACCAGTGGGTCTTCCCAGAGAATTCACGATCTGCCGCTCGCGGGTGATGCTGCTGCTGGGCAGCAGCAGCAGCAGCAGCAGCAAGAGAGCCCTGCACCCTGGGCGACGACGAACGGCCCGCTTATGCTACGCGCCTCGCCCGCGCCGGCGGGGGCGGCGGACGGCGCGGCAGGCGGCGCCTGTGTTCCCGGAGACGCCGCAAGCAGTGGCGGCGGCGGCGTGGCGAAGAAGCCGTGGGCGTTCGTGGCGCCTGGCTCGGGACCCGCAAGCGGTCCCGCCGCCGCCAGGGCGGTCGAGTTAAACGTCGCACCCGAGAGAGACCCCCCGTCGAGCAGCGGCTTCAGGAGACCCTCGCCCGCCGTTAAGCTCTTCCTGGACGCCGTGTCGGCGCGGTCGTTCGAAGACCCACAGTCCTCTCGGCAGACGTCCGGTCGCGGGTCGGAACAGGGGCAGGTTTGGTCGGACGCCAGCGTGTGCTCGGACGGGGAGGGCGACGCGGAGCAGGAAGAGCGGGAACAGCAGGAACAGCAAGGGACGACGGCCGCAACGACAAGCGCGCTGGTCCGGTCGGCGGCGGGAGGGGGGCCCGCGGTATCGTCTGCTTTGCCGGCGCACCCGCGCGGCGCGGCGGCGGAGACCCGCATGGTTGTCGCCGTGGGGGCGAACGGAGACGTGTTCGACAGCATGAGGCCCTTCGAGAGCGAAGGCGTGGAGTCTTTCCAGCCGCTCAACCAGCGACGGTGGCCGCCTCCCCGCGGGATCGTGGCAGGGGTCGAGGAGGTTCAGGGGGCCCTGGAGTCTCCGGGGGGGGCGGGGGAGCAGAGGACGCACGCCGCCAGCCATGCCAGGAGGCACGGGAGCACCGGGAGCACGGGCATGTCTTGGGGGGAGGACGCGAAGCTTGCGCTCGCACGAAAGAGGCTCCAATGGGAAAGGTAAAGAGCGGCATGTGATTCATGGTACTTGTGTTCTTTTTTTCTTGGGTGTTTGCGGAAGAGCTTCATTCAGCGTTTTAGGCGTGTACCAGCGAGATACCGACACACCGGGCACCGCCTGGCTTGCCGCGAAGACGGGGCAAAGGCCGAGGCGCAGTCGGCGTCCCCCACCCCCCCCCCGTTGTTATCTAGACCGCTGCCACGATTTTCCAGAGGCCTCAGGCATCGTCGTAGCGATCGGCCAAGTGGGAACTCGTGAGGTAACTGGCTGTTCCGACCCACGGCCGCGCGTGCTCACAGGTCTCGACGTGGTGCAAGCGAGGGAGGGAGCCAGTCGCTGCGATTGCACGCCGCTTTGGTGGCGAAGAGAGAGGCCGAGGTGAGGGAAACGGCGAGATCGGTCGTCGGGGAAGAACCGAGCTAATACCGTAGGTGTCACGGGATACCACACACCCATCCTGATTTTCCTCCAACCTTGTATTTGATACTTGATAGTCAGAGCAGATCCGCGGGCCCCCTTTTTCACTGTGAAGCCCCGTGCTGCGCTAGTTTTTCAAGTGTTACTACAAAAACTTCCTGGAAAGGATCATTGAACTTCATGTATTTAGAACCAGCTTTCGGGGTTCCACACCGGGGACCCCAATAAAAGCCGGTCAGTAGTGCAAACATCGTCTCATTTTTCTTCTACGGTTTGCTGAACTTTGTTGCGCCATGCCACCACAATCTGAGGACTATTCAATATTTACCTCGATATATTCAAGGCAAACCAACACGAAACTCTCTGTGTATTGTTAATTCCCATATACAATCCGTCCATGGAAATTAGGCGACGCCAAATCGGCAGTTAGACCACCATTTTGGGCATAACTCGCTTCCACCATGACCGCTTTCTATTTCTTTTTTGTACAGGTCCCCTAGAGCATGGTGGGAATTTATTTGATGCAAAACTGCGGTAGAAAGAGGTGGGAAGTGCGGGTTTGCATGCCTTATTAGTTTTGTATCATGTTGAAGGCTTCTGAATGGCTGAGACACATTTATTTCCATTGCATTATGGCCACGGCTCTGATTGAAATTCCGGCCACGGCGATTTGTTTCCTTGCTCATGGGGGCTACTATGATACAACATGTGTCAATTTTGTGTACATCTTTCGTCTGGCAGCTGTGGTTGAATATAATTGGGTTCATTTCCGTGCACCAACTTGTACCGACGGCAACTTTGTATGAGCAGCTTGCAACTGAGCGAACGTTGGCATCGTTCCCGCGCCGTGTCTCGCGTCGCCTATAGTGAATGAGGTGTATACCCGAGTAATCGGTGCTCCAAAAAGAAGGATACACGTGCTGTATGTCGCGCGGTCTTTGCTACGGGGCTCCTCTGCCACCACGACACCAGAGGTTTTCCATGCCAGTCCATAAAACGAACAAGCGGAACCAAAATAAACAAAGGCAAAACCCGATCCGTTAAATGACGCCGCAAAGCCCTCAATCAAACCTCGGTCAAAGATGCCTCACGCGCAGAAAGCGGAGAAGCATCTTGCAGAGACGAAGCCAGCCACATCTCGTTCCCGCTCCTTCCTCGACCTCCCCCAACATCACCGCCGAGGCACTCTCTCTGCCAGCCTTCCCTTCCAAACCCCACCCCCGATGACGAAACGCTGCGTCTTCTCTTTCTTCCGCGCTCGCTTTCCGGCGTCCGTTTCCTGCCTCCGACGAAAAAAAACAAACGTGAATCACCACCCGCACGGGTGGGTCAGCTACTCGCTATCGAGACGGACGTGAAGCAGGCGGTGAGGATCTTGGAGGAGCGAATCGCCCGCAGGGAGTCAGCGGAGGCTGCCTTGAGGCAGTGGAGACGTCAGCTCCCACCCAAGGTGCGCGATGTTGATGTTTGCGGTACGGCAGAGGTCCTGTCTAGTACCGGGATGTGTCCAGAAAAATCACCGGGACTATATATATATATCGGACCGGCACTATTCGAAGTAATAATAATGACTTGGAAATTGAGCGCGTGCCCGCCGGGCACAGGCACTAGACAGGGACCTCTCCTCTCCTGTATGCACATCACAGCAGTGCGCCCTGCTTTCCATGACTTGCTGCAGGAAGACACGTGTGTGTATGACGCTCAGCTGATACAGAGCCCATGGCCTCCCCTAGACGGGTGACTCGGGGCTTATCGTCGAGAAAAATAGTTTAGTAGCTACTGTATTTGTAGTTTCAGAGTGAGTGTCTGGTGGTTGGAACCGGCGACAGTAGCAGCAGTACTCAAGAATTCTCTAGCTGGCTGCGCTACATGCTCTGAAAAGTAGCGGATGCGGAGGGAGAGTGGCGACTATCGCGCATGGTACCTGGCTGAGCTGCTTTGCCCCGGGAGCTTGAGGGTATAGGCCCCGTGTGTCTCAACCGACACACGGCTTCGTTGCTCGTAAATTCGGCAGGTCTCTGAAATTTTCCGCCTTTTGCACCCTTCGTTTGTCGTGTTTTTTCTCGTGCCGTTGTGCGTTGATTTCCCCGTCCAAATCAGGCGTACAACGATGTCATGTCGTGCCTGGCTGGGAACCAGAGTTTCGGGCTGTACGGCAGCGGATAGCCCAGAACCCACTGGGCAACTTTTTTTTGTGGACGCTCGTTTTCGTGCGCTTCCAAGATACTCTACCTGCTATCGCCACCGTTTACCCTGCTACAGATGTGAGCGTGTAGAAGGTCGCTCGAGCGGCTAGAGTCCAAACTGGTTGGAACCATGTGCTGCTGCGCTGAGCATTCGTACAACACACCGTCCGTGGCTATCGATCGGCCTAGCTAGGTGGACCATCAATGTTGGATCTCAGCTTGTAGAGAGCAGCCAGCCCTTTCAGGAGGTTTGAAACGCTCTCCTCTAGTCCACCAGCCTATACCACACACACTCCTGTAGCTTGTTTGCGGTTGGTGCGCTACTGTTGTTTTTTCTATTCCTGATGAGAGGCCCACTAACGCCGACAACTTTCTTCATAAAAGGGCGGTACGAATGCCGACCAGTCTGCTGTGTACATGATAGTAGCATTTTTTTAAAGCCAGCCGCAACTGTGGCTGTATTCCTTCGTAGATACTTTTAGCTTTTGTATGAAGTTTGAGTGCGGGTTGGCCGCTAGACTTTCTGCGGCAGCCAGCCGCGTTCTGCACTACTATTCTGTGCCGCATGCCAGTAGGATGTTTACCAGGCAAGGCGGTTGGCTGATTTTTTTCGGGTGTGGTGGTGGACTTTAGAAATTTCTACATACCATAAAATCACGTTTTGACTTGCGACTGGTCATTTTGCTGCGGTGTTTAGTGGCACGATCATCATCATCTGCGGTATATTCAACTGAGCGAGGAGAACGTTCTAAAGAATGTTCTTCAGAACGAGATCGACTCTCTGTCGGTAGCGTGTGGGTATGCCCATTTTGTTCATCAGCCTGTAGGCGTGTAGATATAGATACTCTATTCGGTTGAGCTCGCTCTTGGAACTGGTCACGTTGCAATATTATTTTGGCGTGCGCAGCACATCCAGTCGGGGTTCCTCTTCATCAGCTAGCTTCGGGTGCCGACAACGTTTGTGGAAAGTTGTTCCTGTTTTTTTATCATAACCTGCTCGGGCTTGTAGTGCGTCCACTAGGCTGCATTGTGTTTTTGTGTGTATACAACGGATCGGATACGTACGGCGATGATGATGGTGTTTTATTTCGGTTTTGAATCGTATTGAGTCGATGGCAATGATGCATGTTTACACGTTACAGGTATGGGTTGTGTGTGATCTCGCGTTGCGTGCGTGGATTTTATGTGAGTGAGTTGTAGCATTTGTATTTGTGTGCGTGCGTGCTGTGCTGCTCTATCCCCTTGTATGTGTAAGCTGTTGTTTCCGCGTGAAGTTTAGATGTCTGTTGGGTTCGAGACAGCGGCGCTCGCGGGGAATGGGGGGGGGGCGGGGGGGGGGGGGGGGAAGGGGGGAAAAAACTGCCCGGATAAAAAAGCCCCAAAAGGTTGGTAACCCCGAAGGCCCCCGGCCGGGTTCCCTTTTCAGAAAAGGCCCCAAAAAAAAACCCGGGGGTAAATCCCCGGGCCCCATTTTTTTAAAAAACTCCCCCAAAAACTTTTTTTTTTTTCGGGTTTTCCCCCGGGGGGGAAAGGGGGGGGAATTATTTTTTTTTTTCCCCCAAATTTTTTTTTTTGGGTTCCCCGGGGAAAAAAAAATTTTTACCCCGGGGGGTTTGGAAGAACCCAAATGGGAACCCCCCCC